CTTTTTATAATGTTACAAGGTCTAGGGTTTCATCCATGACAAAACCCTAATGCCCATGACCTTTCATTTCCTTAGGCTCCATGGGTTAACCGCCATGGACTATCCATGGACCACCATATTGTTTTAGCCCATAACATTGGCCCACACTATAAGAATTATTGATTTACCAATCAATCCCCATATATCTAATTAGTCTCTTGATCACAAAATTAATTCCAAATTAATTCTTGATCAATACTAATTAAATTATATGATTATTAATATATTATAACTTATAATATATTAACACATCATAATAAGCTCTTCTCAAAAATCCATCAAATTGTCCTAGTGAAGGCAACCCAAATGGACCATGCTACTCTCGGGTCAAGTACATACCAATTATAGTTATGGGCTTAGACACCTAATCCAACAGGATGGGGCTCAAATCATGAATCAAGTCAATAAGCACACTTGTATGATTACTAACACTTGCATGGTTGAGGCTCAACCATTAAGATCCGATTTTTATGACTCAAAACAGTTCCAAGAGTTCAAAAGGACATCTCATATGGTCTGAAGTTGCTCAAACTCCAAGAATCCAAACTATGGGACCAAAAGATACCATTTTCTACCCTAAACCTAGATCTAAGCTTGTAATGATCAAGGTTTAAACTTTATATCTTCAATGGGTTAGAAATGGTGCCAAACTTTTGAATCTACAAGCTCTTCCCATGTCCTTGCTTCTTTGTAAGCTTCCGTCTCCTTCAAAGTCACAAAAGAACAGCACAATCACTCAAGAAAGCTCACAAATGCACTCATGGTGGCTTAGGGTTCGAGATTTGTACTACAAGGGAAATGGAGGCTGAAAAGGTAAGGGACTTGGAGGACTTAAGGTCCTTAAGTAGGGTGAAAACCCTAAAAATTATGGTTTTCCCCTGGCTTGGTTACGCCCAGCGTACGCATGAGTAGGCCCAGCGTATGCTGAGGATCCCCTGATGGCGCGCATGCAGCGAGTACGCCATGCGTACATAATGTACGCCCAACGTACTCACCATCGATCCACCACCTTAAGTTCAATTAAAAATAGACTAAGTGAGAAACTTCATACCTGGCGACTCGGGTGCTACAGTAGGTTTCTAAACCCACTTTTTGAATACCTTCTCTCATATGTGAACGTGTATTACATGATTGTGTATTTAAGAAAATTCAGCAGGATTTCCCCTTAGCTCCCAAGTATATATATATATATAAGATATATATATATATATATATATATATATATATATATATATATATATATATATAATATATATTATATATATATATATTATATATATATATATATCAGTGTTGCGAATATCGGCCTAGGCGGCCGATTAATCGGTGCCTCGGCGCTTGGCGGTCCTCGACTGATGATGAGTATAGCTAATCGGCCTCTAGAATCGGACGTGGTCAAAGTTGGAGGTTATCGGAGTTAGGCGGGTCTAGGCGCTCTAATCGGTCAACACTGGTCAACGAAACTTAAAAACTTTCAGGGGCTAAATTTTCAAAATGTAAAAATTGATGGTAGGGTTCCTTCCGATTACTCCGTTCCATCACATTCAATTTTTTTTTTTTCATTTTGAAATTCTCTCTTTCGGACTCAAGGTAGGAACGAACGAACACCATCATGTTCTTCTCCATTCATGACGTCGTCATCTTCTTCTCCGTTCACGGCGCCGCCATCTTCCTCATCTGAAGTTCGTATGAAGCACACCAATATCGTTTGAAGTTCGTCGTCTTCTGTTGAAGCTTCTGTGTGAGGCTCTGATACCTTCTGTTCCTCGTCTGGTGTCTTCTGTTCATCCTCCGACTTCTCCTTCGGGTTAGTCTCCAGTCTCCACTTCTCATTCTTCTATTTGATGCACGAATTGCAATTTCTAGAAATTATTTGAGGAAGAAAATGGGTTTAAGCATTTTTCTAGAATCTGTTTAAGTATTTTCTAGAAATTATTTCATGTTAGTCTTCGTCTTTTGTTCCTTGTCTACCAATTTCTAGAATATGTTTAAGCATTTTTTGAATCTAATCTGTTTCCAGGTCAAGTTTCCAGCTCTAATCTATTGAATCTGTTGTGTTGTATACCAATTATTAAGTAATATTTCTTAAAATGCTATGACAGATCATTGTTGAACCTTTGGGAATGCGCAGAAGTGAATTTTTTTGCCTGTCTGGTTTTTATAAATATAAATAACCTTGTAATCCTGATTCATGTTCTTGACTATTTGAGGTATGTATTCATCAATTCCTATGTTCAATAAAGAATTTCAAGATCATTAAATATGCTTAGGTCTTCATATTGCTATTTAACATGTTATTATGATTTGTAATTAGGGTCTTCCTATGTATTTATGCAAAAGCTATCTTCCGAAACGTGATGAAATAATCACACTAGTTGATGAAGATGGAGATGAGTGGCCAACAAAGTACCTCCCTAGGAAAACTGGACTTAGTGGAGGATGGCAAGCATTTGTTGAAGATCATAAACTAGTTGATGGTGATGCACTAGTTTTCAAACACATAAAGCCCACAATTTTTAAGGTTATTTACTTGATCTTTATTTCATTCCATACAACCAAACATATTTTGTTATTTAGTTCAAACTTGTTTCTTTAAACTTACTGATATTTTTAGTAGTTGAATGAAGGTTTACATCACACGAGTGAATAAACAAGAAATTAAGATTGGATAGGTTTGTGTCTCGTCTCTCGGTAGTAAGAACATAATTCGAATTGTAGTATTTTGTTATTTAGATGTGATGTATTAAGGATCAAATGAGTTTTTTGTAATAATAGTTTCATGTTATAATGTTATATTTATTAAATTTTTAATATTTTTTAACAGATGTAATTTTATATTTATTAATCTTATATTTAATTTTATATTCTTAGGATTAATGTTATATTTATTAATTGTTTAATAATTTTTTTAATAATTAATGGTCTCCGATTAATCCCCCGATTAATCTCCGCATAGCCGATTAATCCCTGGACCCAGTCCACCGCCGCGCTACCGTCGAGCGATTTCTGCAACCTTTATATATATATATATATATATATATATATATATATCTAATATATATATATATATCTATATATATATATACTTGAGGAGCAAAGATAAAATGACAACTGAATATTTTTTAAACAAACAATCATGTAATACATGTTCACATCCTAAATGAGATAAAGTATTTAAAAATGCTGTCCCAAAACGGGGACAACCCGGAATTAATTTCTAAATCAATTTTAGGTGGGTATTTCTAGGCTCATGATGATTACAAAGAAGACACGCAAACGAATAGAATTTGGAAGAATTTTTTTTGTCATTTATAGCATCTTACTTTTGTATATTTTTGTTATTTGTGACATATGATTTTGTTTTAATTTTTCTACAATAGCATTGTACTTTAAGTATTATACTGTTTATTCTATTTAAGCATTGTACATTTAAATATATTTTTATATTTATAATATCATATTTTTATCCTAATATAACATTGTACTTTACAATATTTTTGTTATTTATGGCATGCATTTTTGTTTTAGTTTTCTATAATAGCATTTGTACTTTAAATATTATATTGTTTTTTCTATTTGGCATTGTACTTGCATATATTTTTTATTATAGTATGATATTTTATCCTATTATAGCGTACAAACTATTTTTTCATTTTTTTCATTATAGCATTGTACTTTCCAAGTTGCATACGAATACACAAAAAAAAATCATTTTTTTAGTTATAGCAGTACTTTCCAAATTGCATAACTATTTTTTCTTTATTTCCCATTAAAGCATTGTACTTTCAAATTACATAACTACTTTATTTTATTTTCCATTATCGCTCTTGATACATATATACACACTACATACATCATACACACCATTATACATACAAAACACTTAAAACATGCTTCCTATACATATATATATTCATTATAGCATCATACGTTTTTTTTTCATTTTTTCCATTATTGAAACTACTTTTTTCAATGTTTCCATACATATATTCATATTACCCACATTTTTCCATACATCATACACATTACAATATAGACAAGTACACATAAAACATACATCCTACACATATTCATATTCTTTATAAGCATCCTACTTTTTTCATTTTTTCCATTATAGCGTTGTACTTTCTAAAAAAGCCCTTGATACATATATCCCACCACATACATAAATAAAACACACTTATACATACAAATACACTTAAACATGCTCCTACAAATATTACATATCATTATAGCATTATACTATTTTTTATTTTTTTTCCATTATAGCATCCTACTTTTTTTTTCATTTTTTCCATACATATATACACACATACATACCAATATATACAAATTGCATATATTATGCATTCTATTTCATATACTTACATCATACACATTACATACACACATATGCATTCAATATGAAGAACTAGATTAGAATACTTCATAAAATGGAATAGACCCTGTGGTGGAACGAAATCAGAATGTTGGTGGTGTTGTGGTGGAAAAAAAAATTGGCAGCTATGGTGGTGGTGATGAAAACCCGAAATTAGTGGTCAACAATGCTTAATACACAAAATCAAACACCCAAAGCATTAGATAGTCACTTAGATAGTCAGCGGACATAAAAGAAATCAGAAAAAATTAAGAGAATCACTTGTAAAGCGATGGAGGCTGCGAGGAAAAAAATCTTAGCAAAATCCATCAGTTGTCGCCGGTGTTGTTGCTTCTGTCTCCGATGATGATGCTCTTGTTTTCGCCGGTGATAGAGGCTGCGAGGGCTTAGATCGAATTCGGCATCGTCAACGATGAGAGGTGAAATGTAAGGTCCCAAAAATAAAGACTAAAAATATCGATTTTTAAATTAATAAAACCATCATCCAAACAACATCATAGAAATCATGGTGAATCAAAGTGTGTCAATATCATCCAAGTACATCGGAGTAATATAAAAATGCGGAACGATGTGGTGTGCGCACTGCAATTATCTCGGGCTCTTCCCCTAAAACCAGAAGTACTGGAAACATAAACTGAAAACTGTAAGCACAAAGCTTAGTGAGTTCCCCAAAATACCACATACCATACATATCAAACATATAATGGGCCCCGCCTGTCATCGGGACCCGTCCGACTTCGAGCCCCGCTTGTTGAATAGATCTGTCAGTCATCAGGCCCCGCCTGGCATCGGGCCCCACCCAGTATACATATAAACATATAAACATATAATCATACAAACATATACAATAATCACAAAGATAAATAGCATACATGATAGTCATCGGGGCCCGCCTTGTAAAACATATTAACACATATCACATGCAAGAGTCACGCATATAACTAACATCCTAAACATAACAAACCATGGCCCCACATTGGTGCCTTTGACCCGCTAAACATCAAGAGGAAACTCACCTCAAACTACTGAATCTCCCAGATAAAATCTCAGTCAGCTGGTCTGGAAAATACCCGCGCTAACATCATCAATAATACGCAATTAATAATTGGGTCTTAATCAAAAATCAATAGTCATGTTCACTTGTCCAACATCCAGGGTAAAGGACCATTTTACTCTTTTTCCTACTTGGCCCAAAATCAAGGCCCAATTCCATTTGCTCTCTAAAGGCCCAATTCCTAAATGGCACTCAAAGCCTAAATGGACCAATCGAGAAAAGCCAACAATCCAGAAATTATCCATGGGAGTTAAGGGGCCAAGCCTAAACAAAACATAGCCCAAAAATCCAAAGCCACAATTCCTTTAGCCCAGACTAGCGTACGCTCGACATACTAGGCCCTGCGTACGCGATCGATGCAGAAATGGGTTTGCAACCAGTACGCTCAGCGTACTCAGGAGTATGCCCCGCGTACTGGCCTGATCCCAACCCTTTGCAAAAATGACTTAATCACATCAGAACTTATTATCCAATCCACAAGTTATCATCATAATAAGGTCCTAACCCATAAAGTCGAAGGATTTAAGCCTTTGCATGGCTAAAAACACCCCAAGGTCCAATTCTAGCACCTTAGCTCCATGAAATGAGACATCAACTTTTCATGGTTGCACAAAACCCATCCAGGTGACATTTTTATGCAATAGGAACCTCTAAAACGTCCAGATCTAGAGGCTAAGCTCTTGGAGTAACCTTTACTCACAAGGACATCCCAAAAGGGACTAAAATAAGTCATAAATCACCCAAACTAGATCTATAGAAGGAGTTGTCAAGCTAAGAACTTTATACCATTAATGGCTTGCAAAGGAGGTGATAACTCTGCATCTCTAAGCTTCACACTAAGCAATGAATCTTTAATATCTTTCTATCACTTCAAAATGCACCAGAAAACACTAATATTCTTCACAAGAGCTCAAGAGCACTAAAATGGTGGCTAAGGGTCGAGATTAGGGTTTAGGAGATATGGAAGCGGATAAGAGGCAAAGCTCATGGGACTTAATGAGATTATATATGGGTAAAACCCTAATAGTTAAGGTTTCTAACTGGCCGAAGTACGCCCCGCATTCTGCCACGAACGCCCAGCGTACGTGGGTGCATCCACAAACCATCGGAGAGCCAGTATGCTCAGCGTACCCATATGGTACGCCCCGCGTACTAAGCTACGGACCAAAAAGAAAGGTTTTTTCATAAGAGGGGCTAAAGGAAACATACCAATACTTTCGAATGTTACATGAAACAAGACAGAATATAGAAAGCGATTGAGGAAGGGGGTATATATGCGCTAACGTTTAGCGGCGATTGCTATTTGCAGCGACGCGAGACTTGGGCGGTGACAATAGGTTTTTAACAGTGACACTGTCCGGAGGGAAAATATACCGCGTTTTTTTGGAGCATTAGCAGCGATGACGTCGTTGCCATTGACGTCGCCGCTAATACTTTAAGCGATCTTCATTTTCCGTCTAGGTTAACTAGTTTTTTTTTTGACGCGGATCCTAGTTTTCCACCTTTAGCGGTGACGCCATTAGCGGCGACACACACTTTTAGTGGCGACACGTAACCCACAAATTACGTATCGCCGCTAAAAGTGTGTGTCACCGCTAATGACGTCGCCATTATTGCCTTTATTACTTGTAGTGATTGTAAACGAACCGGACGAACACAAACAAATGTTTTTAATGTTTATTCGTTTAAGTTAGCCGAACAAACGAACAAACACAAAAAAAAATAAACGAACACGTTTTTTTGTTCCTGTTCATTCATTTT